TGCAGACGCAGAACAGGAAAGTCCGAGCCGAAACGCTCTCTGAGCTGGAGACGAGCAACGCGGATCCAGTCGATCAACACCTCAGTGACCTCACCCTTGCTGCGCAAGGGGAAGACAGTGATGTAACGCGAGTAGTCGTCAACCACCAGCAGGAAGTAACGCTCGTGACCCTGTCCACGGACGCGGGCTGGGCCCCACACGTCCATGTGAAGAGTCTGCAGCGGAGCCTCTGTCGGGGGAAACTCGGAGGAGTGAGGAGCGGCGCGCTGCCGCCCCTCGACGCAGGGAACGCAGGTAGGGGCAGGCCCCAGGGGAAGGGGAGGGAGGGACCGGGGGAGACCAGAGACAAGGACACGGGAGGCCATGCCTCGGAGACGAGGCAAGGAGGGGTGACCAAGGCGGTGGTGCCAGAGGAGGGTCTGGTGGGACAGGAGGCGACACGAGCAGGGGGCAGACTCAGGACCTGACCGAGACGCTGCAGCAAACACCTGACTCGACGCAACTACCTGACCAGACGCAGCAACCGGAGGAGACCCTGTGGTCAGTGTGTACAGGCTCGACCCCGGTCGACGGGTAAACGAGGCCAAGTGGCGGCCCGTCTGAGCACACGTGCAGTGGGTCACTCGCTGACCTGCAGGAGTGAACTGGTCAACTCCGGCATCCTGAAGGTCAGCACCACTCACCAAGTTCGTGGAGAACGAGGGGAGGTAGAGACCAGACAGGGAGCCTGACGGGGCCGCCGGACACGGGAGGACAGTGGAGTAGCGAGCAAGGACAGGACCCCCAGAGGGGTCTTCCAGGGAGACCGCAACCGGCCAACTGAGCGGCGTAAGGGTGGTGCGGTCTCGAAAGAAGGAGCGGGAAGCACCCGAGTCGAGGGTGAAGGTGTGAAAGACCTGAGCCGACTCGGTACCTGAGAGAGCAGACTCACCAGCACCTAGAGCAGCAGACTCACGAGTACCTGGAGCAGCAGACTCACTAGCACCTAGAGCAGCAGCCTCAATACCAGGGTCAGGCGGAACACACACGTAACAGTCACCCTCAGCACTAATAGACACAGCATACATGGCAGCAAGAATAGCATCAAAGTCAAGATCAAAGATAGCTACCCCCGACCTGAATAGATCTCCCCAACGAGGGATCTCAGTGGCGTCCGGGAACTGGGCACGCCAGGCGTCCGTCAGGCGACCGAAGCAGCGCTGGGTGGCGTGCAGGCCGCCACACTGCTCTCCAGTGCGGTCACCGGTGCGCAGGACGTAAGTACAGGGACCAGCACCCCCAGACCCCTGGCGCCCCGCGTACCACTCACGAAGCTGCTGGGGCGAAGGGGTCTCACGAGAGCGCTACTGCTGCTGGGGTCCCCGCTGCACAGCTCCGCCTCTGCCAGCTCCACCTCCGCCGCCGCCGCCTCCGCCTCCTCCACCCCTCCCGCCACCGCCACCGCCGCCTCCACCTCCACCGCCGCCACCGAAGCCCCCACCTCTACCACCACCTCCACCCCCACCCCCTCCTCCGCCTCCACCGCCACTACCGCCGCCCCCACCACCTCCTCCAGCTCCCTTGCCCCGCTTGCCCTTGCTGATGCGGCGCCTCTCACTAGGAGCAAACGCAGCGCTGACCGACTCGGTGCCAACAAGGTCGACAGCAGCAGCAGAGGCAACAGAGGGCAAAAGAGGAACGGGGGAGCACCCCTCAAAGAAAGGGGTATGGGGGTCACCACGAGAGGCGCCTACAGCGGTGATACTAGTCTCGGGTGGTAGGGCAAAGAGAGAGGAAGTGGTCCCTGACCGAGCGGAGAGTGTCAGGGAGTCGAGTGACTAGGTAGTAGAGGGTGATGTACATGGGGGGGGGGTTCTGGGCGCAGAACTCAGCAGGAAGCGCAGCGCGGTAGCGAGTGTCACTAGTGCGGAGGTGCGTAATGAGGTCAGTGACTGTGGCAAAAGCAGCGAGGTCAGGGAACAGGTACGGTAGCATGAGGCGGCTAAGCGCAGCAGTGGCAGGGGAAGAGTAACGTGCAACTACTGCGTCGTACAGAGTCTTAGCACTCTTGTACTGACTAAAGTGCGCGCGCTCAGTAGACGCTAGGTGACTACGCACAGCAAGGCGGGCAGCAGCATCGCGCGTGAGCCACTGTGAGCGAACGGTACTGTCAGCATCAGCAGCAGGGGCAGTAGAGGCGCCCGACGTAAGATCAAACAGGGAGAGACCATCCTTGCTATCGCACTGAAGGAAAAGCTGCAGATCATCTAGCCAGACATCAAAGTCAACCGCTCGACCCTCAGCATCAAAGGTGAGAAGACTAGGACTAGCCATGATAGGAGCAGCAGCAGACTAGCAGCGGCAGAAGTGCAACTGAGCGAGGCAGGACAGTGCGACTCGGCAGGGCGACTCGGCAAAGCAGTGCGGCTCGGCCGCGCGGCTCGGCCCGGCTAGGCTCTTACCAGGGGCGGAGCCGACAGGTCCGGGACTAGGTCGGGGCCGTGACAGGGCCGGGACAGGGTCGGGGCCGAGCAGGGTCCGGGACGGGGCAGCAACGGGGCCGGGACAGGGTCAGGGCCGGGGCAGGTCCGGGACAGGGTCGGGGCCGAGCAGGGTCCGGGACGGGGCAGCAACGGGGCCGGGACAGGGTCGGGGCCGGGGCAGGTCCGGGACGGGGCCGAGGTAGGGCCGGGACAGGGTCGGGGCCGGGGCAGGTCCGGGACGGGGTCGGGGCCAAGGCAGGTCCGGGACGGGGCCGGGGTAGGGCCGGGACGGGGCCTTAGGGGCGGCGTAGGGGCCGCGTCAGGTACGGGGCCGGGTCGGGCCGTTTAGGGGCCGCGTAGGAGCCGCGTAGGGGCGGCGTAGGGGCCGCGTAGGGGCCGCGTCAGGGACGGGGCCGGGTCAGGCCGTGTAGGGGCGGCGTAGGGGCCGCGTAGGGGGCCGCGCAGGGGGCCGCGTAGGGGCCGGGTAGGGGCCGCGTAGGGGCCGCGTAGGGGCCGGGTAGGGGCCGCGTAGGGGCCGCGTAGGGGCCGCGTAGGGGCCGCGTAGGGGCCGCGTAGGGGCCGCGTAAGGGCCGCGTAGGGGCCGCGTAGGGGCCGGGTAGGGGCGGGGCCGCGTCAGGGACGGGGCCGCGTCAGGTACGGGGCCGCGACGGGGCCGTTTAGGGGCGGCGTAGGGATCGCGTAGGGGCCGCGTAGGGGCCGTTAGGGGCCGCTAGGGGGCCGCCAAAAAAAAAAATTAAGGGCAGGGCGCGAGACGCGCTTCGGGCAGCTAAAAAAAAATTGCTTATGGTGGGCCCTTAGGAAGGAACGGTCCCATGAGGGAACCCGCTCTATACCATGTGAAGAATTAAACAGGAATGATTGAACTAGAAATGAGGTGGGTACAAATAGAGAACACAAAAGTGTTGTACCCTCTAGGAACTACCCCACTACAGCCTATATAGGCTAAGGCATATACATTTGACAGCGTGGACATGACGGTTGGAGTGAGTCCGAAACGTTTTGCGATAGTGTCCGTGTACTTTTCAGCGCAGAGGTAGATTGCATTGTCGTCGTCTTGGATGTTCCGTCCTAGGTACTGTGTCACGGTAGTTGCGACGGTGAGAGTGAGATCCCGCTGCAGTTCCCCTTCAAACCATGTCGTTATGGCGTCGGTGGAGCCTATGTAGAGGAGATCGTCGGCGTACACAATGAGTAGAATGTAGTCGGTACCCTTCGTTAGTCGATACATCCCTTGGTCGTGCGGTAGTTGAAGGAATCCGATGCGGATTAGGCGGGCGTGAAGATGCTGCAGCCACAGTCCCGAGGCTTGCTTGATCCCGTACAGCGATTTCTCCAGCTGACAGACTTGGTTTGGTCCTGCGTTGGACCCGTGCGGGAGTTCGACGAAAATCTCTGCATCGACGGGGGCGTAGAGGAAGGCGTTGGCGACATCGATTTGCCGAAGCTTCTTCCGGTTCATGGCGGCTATCGCGAGGAGAATCCGTAGTGAGGTATGTCGGCTTACTGGGGCGAATGTTTCCGTAAAGTCTCGTCCTTGCTCTTGGTCGAAGCCACGCACAACTCAACGTGCTTTGAATTTGTCGATTGTTCCGTCGGCTTTTGTTTTCACGCGGAAACCCCATTTTCCCGTGAGGATGGTCTTATTGCGTGCTACTCCGATAGGTACGACTTTCCAGGTGTTGCGTTCTTGCAGCGCCTTTAACTCTATGTCCATGGCCTCGCGCCATTTTTCCCTGTGTTCCCCCCCCAGAGCCTGCTGAATGGTGGCAGGCTCCTTAGGTGGTGCTGCTCCGTGGACAGCGGTGATGAGTCCCAGTATCTGTAGGCCACTCTGTGTGTAGCGGGGAAGATTTTTGTCCTCTGGATAAGCTGCTTCGTTTCCTGCTTCAGGGTCTGGTAAGAAATTCGGTCCTATTCGTTCGGAGATGTTGGTGTCGACCGGTTGGGGTGTAACTGTCAGAAAATATAATTATATGTTCTGTTATATAACTGCCTGTAGGATTTACTGTAGTGTAGCTCCTATTGTTTGGTGGTGCACCTTTGTTCATTTTGCTATATGTACCTTGTGTACTATAGTGAAACTCATCATTCCTCCTTTCCATTCCCTCTCGACACTCAACTCTCTCGACACTCACTAGCCATGGCTCCTAAGTCTAGCTACGATTCTAACATGCTATCAGAGTAGGTCGGTCCTAGGACCTAACATCAATGGGCCCACCACCTAATGCCCTTCTAGCCTAGGCCCCGGCCCGTCGCCCCTTGGTGTCGCCCCTAGCTGTGCCCCTCGGCCCCGCTGGCCCCGTCGACTTCGTCGCCCCGTGCCCGGCCCGTACTTAGCCCGCGATCGGCCCGTACCTAGCCCGCGCTCGGCCCTGTTCCTAGCCCCGCGCCCGGCCCGTACCTCGGCCGCGCCCGGCCCCGTACCTAGCCCGCGATCGGCCCGTACCTAGCCTCGCGCCCGGCCTCAGTTCCGCGCCCAACGCCCGGCCCGTACCTCGCCCGCGCCTGGCTCCGTACCTAGCCCGCGCCCGGCCCGTACTTAGCCCACGACCGGCCTGTACCTAGCCCGTCGCCCGGCCCCGTCCCTTGCCCAGCGCTCGACCCCGTACCTAGCCTCGCACCCGGCCCTGTACCTGCCCAGCGCCCGGCCCCGTACCTGCCCAAAGCCCGGCCCCGTACCTGCCCAGCGCCCGGCCCCGTACCTGGCCAGCGCCCGGCCCTGTACCTGCCCATCGCCCGGCCCCGTCCCTGCCCAGCGCCCGGCCCCGTACCTGCCCAGCGCCCGGCCCCGTACCTGCCCAGCGCCCAGCCCCGTACCTGCTCAGCGCCCGGCCCCGTACCTGCCCAGCGCCCGGCCCCGTACCTGCCCAGCGCCCGGCCCCGTACCTGCCCAGAGCCCGGCCCCGTACCTGCCCAGCGTCCGGCCCCGTACCTGCCCAGCGCCCGGCCCCGTACCTGCCCAGCGCCCGGCCCCGTACCTGCCCAGCGCCCGGCCCCGTTCCTGCCCAGTGCCCGGCCCCGTACCTTCCCAGCGCCCGGCCTTGTACCTGCCCAGCGCCCGGCCCCGTACCTGCCCAACGCCGGGCCCCGTACCTGCCCAGAGCCCGGCCCCGTACCTGCCCAGCGCCCGGCCCCGTACCTGCCCAGCGCCCGGCCCCGTTCCTGCCCAGTGCCCGGCCCCGTACCTGCCCAGCGCCCGGCCCCGTACCTGCCCAGCGCCCGGCCCCGTACCTGCCCAACGCCCGGCCCCGTCCCTAGCCCAGCACCCGGCCCCGTACCTGCCCAGCGCCCGGCCCCGTCCCTAGCCATGGCCCCGTCGCCCCTAGCCATGGCCCCTCGCGACCTGCCGCCCCTAACCGCGTCCCCGGTGCCCTGTTGCAACATGGTGGGTGAGGGGGTGGCAAGAGGGGGTTTCTCCTGCCCGCGTGCCCTACAGTCGCACGCGCAGCTCCGCCCCCGCCCCCCTCCCCCCCCTCCATGGGGATGGCGGGGAGAGGGTGTGAGGGGGTGGCGGATGTGCCTCAGCAGCAGCAGCTGCCGCCACGCCTCCTCCTCTCTCTCTCCCTGCCGCACCTTGTGTTGGGAGAGGGGGGGGAGCTTGGAGGTTCAGGGGGAGGCAGGAGGGGATCTGCAGCACCAGGCCCCCCCCACCCTTCTCCTACCTCCCCCTGCTGCGGGTGCAGCAGACGGGGGGAGGGGATCTGCAGCACCGACCCCCCCCCCCCCCCCCAACCCCCCCTCTCATCCTTCCCCTACCTCCCCCTGCTGCGAGTGCAGCAGTGGGGGGGAGGCGATCTGCCATCCCCCTGCTGCGGATGCTGCAGTTGGGGGAGGGGACCTGCAGCACCAGCCCCCCCCCCCCCCCCACGCCCCCCCCCTTCTCCTCCATCTCTCTGCTGCGGGTGCAGCAATGGGGGGAAGGGTATGGGAGTGGCGGGTGTGGCCAACCTGCTGTCGCCCGAGCGGCTCCTGCACCGCCCCTTCTCCTACCCCCCCCCTGCTGCGGGTGCAGCAGTGGGGGGGGAGGGGATCTGCGGCACCAGCCCCCCCCCCCCCCCCCCTCCCTTCTCCTACCTCCCCCTGCTGCGGGTGCAGCAGTGGGGGGGAGGGGATCTGCAGCACCAGCCCCCCCCCCCGCCCCCTCCCTTCTCCTACCTCCCCCCTGTTGCGGGTGCAGCAAAGGGGGGGGAGGGGATCTGCAGCACCAGCCCCCCCCCCCTCCCCCCTTCTCCTACCTGCTGCGGGTGCAGCAGTGGGGGGGAGGGGATCTGCAGCACCAGCCCCCCCCGCCCCCCCCTTTCTCCTCCATCCTTGGGGGGGGAGGTGGCGTGGAAGGGGTGGCCGCTGTGAACCTCTACAGCCTCACCCTCTGCCCTGCCTCTCCCCTCCTGCGGCTGCTGCTGTGGGGGGGAGGTGGCGGGGATGGGGGAGAGGGGGCAGGCCGCCGTGTGAAGATCAGTGCAGGGACTATTGTGGGTGGGGCAGGGGCTGGAGGAAGGAAGGGGGGAAGGGGGGTGAGATACAAGGGGGCAGCTGATAAGGGGGTGAGATTAAGGGGGTGGTTGAATTGAGGGTGAGGACTTGGGGGTTGTTAAGAGGGCCGGCCGGCAGTGAGCTGTCACGCTCATGCACGCTCCCCCACCTCCTCTCCTCATCCCTCACTCACCTCCCCCTTTGTAAAGGGGGTTAGTAAGAGGGATGGCCGGCAGTGAGCTGTCATGCTCATGCACGCTCCCGCACCTCCTCTCCTCATCTCTCTCACTCACCTCCTCCTTCGTTCTTATCTCCTCTCCCCTCCTCTCTCTCTCTCTCTCTCTCTCTCTCTCTCTCTCTCTCTCTCTCTCTCTCTCTCTCTCTCTCTCTCTCTCTCTCTCTCTCTCTCTCTCGCATCCTCCTCACTTACCTCTCTGCCGTCTTCCACTGCACCGGGTGTACCCCTTCAAGGGGTGTTCTACACAGGTTTTCTCCTGCAGGCAGTTATGGGGGTGTGTCGGAAAATATAATTATATGTTCTGTTATATAACTGCCTGTAGGATTTACTGTAGTGTAGCTCCTATTGTTTGGTGGTGCACCTTTGTTCATTTTGCTATATGTACCTTGTGTACTATAGTGAAACTCATCATTCCTCCTTTCCATTCCCTCTCGACACTCAACTCTCTCGACACTCACTAGCCATGGTTCCTAAGTCTAGCTACGATTCTAACAGTAACGTAACCGGTGTCAGCGAAGTCGAAGTAAGTTTCGGCGTTGACACTTTCGCGAGGATTTTCTGTCAGATTTATATGACTTCGGCCCCGGCGCCGCCTCTGCTGGCCCCGTCGCCCCACCCTTGCGACCCCGTGGCCCCACCCTTAAGGCGCCGGTCGCCACCCTTCGTGGCCCCGCCGACGCCCTCAGCGGCCTCGTCGCCGCCCCACCCGGCCCCGCCGCCGTCCCCACGCGGCCCCGCCGTCACCACCGAGCCGCCGGCGCCGCTGAGCCGCCGATCTACCGAGCCGCCGCTGCTGCCGAGCCGCCCGAGCCACCCGAGCCGCCCGAGCCGCCGAGCCACCTGAGCCGCCCGAGCCGCCGAGTCGCCGAGCCGCCGAGCTCCAGTTGCTGCCGAGCCGCCGTGCCGCCGAGCCGCCCGAGCCGCCCGAGCCGCCGAGTCGCCGAGCCGCCGAGCTGCAGTTGCTGCCGAGCCGCCGAGCTGCCGAGCCGCCCGAGCTGCCCTGTCCGGTAAGAGCGGCACCTCTACCACTGCGCTGCCCTTACCCTACTGCTCCAGCTGCTAGTCTACTGCTGTCATGGCTACCCCCAGTGTCCTCGCTTTTGACGCTGAGGGTCGGGCCATTGACTTTGACGTCTGGGTAGATGACCTGCAGCTTTTCCTACAGTGCGACAGGGCAGACGGTCTCTCTCTCTTTGACCTCACTTCTGGTGCCTCTTCTGCCCCTGCTGCTGATGCTGACGCCACTGTTCGCTCACAGTGGGCCACACGCGACGCTGCTGCCCGTCTTGCTGTGCGCCGCCACTTGCCTACCGCTGAGCGTGCACACTTTAGTCAGTACAAGAGTGCTAAGACCTTGTACGACGCTGTAGTTGCACGCTACTCTTCCCCTGCCACTGCTGCACTTAGCCGCCTCATCCTGCCGTACCTCTTCCCTAACCTCGCCGCTTTTCCCACAGTCGCTGACCTCATTACGCACCTGCGCACTAGTGACACTCGCTACCGCGCTGCCCTTCCTCCTGAGTTCTGCGCCAAGAACCCCCCCCCTATGTACATCACCCTCTACTACGTAGTCACCCGGCTCCCTGACACCCTTCGCCCGGTCAGGGACCACTTTCTCTCTGTTTGCCCCACCACCCTCACCGTTGACCTCCTCGAGGAGCGCCTCCTAGCAGCAGAGAAGAGCATAGTCGCTGTAGGAGCCTCTCGTGGTGACCCTCGTGCCCCTGTCTTTGAGGGGTGCTCCCCCTCTCCTCTCTTGCCCTCTGTTGCCTCTGCTGCTGCGGCCGACCTCGTTGGTCTTGAGTCGGTCGGTGCGGCGCCTGCCCCTAGCGGGAGACGCCGCACTGGCAAGGGCAAGGGGGGCAGGGGCGCTGGAGGAGCTAACGGGGGCGGTGGAGGCGGCGGTGGAGGCGGCGGAGGGGGTGGGGGTGGCGGTGGGGGTGGTGGCGGGGGTGGGGGCGTCGGTGGCGGCAGTGGAGGCGGAGGCGGCGGCGGCGGTGGCGGTGGGAGCGGAGGTGGCGGAGGTGGCGGCGGTGGAGGAGGCGGCGGCGGAGGAGGTGGAGCTGGTCGGGGTGGCGCTGCGCAGAGGGTCGGCTCCGGTGGTGGTCAGCGCCAGCAGCAGCAGCAGCAGCAGCACCAGCAGCGCACTCGTGACATCCCCCCCCCTCAGCAGCTCCGTGAGTGGTACGCTGCACGCCAGCGGGGTGGGGGTACTGGTCCGTGCACCTACGTCCTACGCACCGGCGACCGCGCGGGTGAGCCGTGCGGGGGTGCGCACTCCACCCAGCGCTGCTTTGGCCGCCTGACGGACGCTTGGCGTCACCAGTTCCCTGAGGCCACTGAGATCCCTCGCTGGGGCGAGCTGTCTAGGGCGGGAGTAGCTATCTTTGACCTTGACTTTGATGCTATTCTTGCTGCCATGTATGCTGTGACTATTAGTGATGAGGGTGACTGTTACTGGTGTTTTCCGCCCGACCCGGGCATTGGGACTGCTGCTCTAGGTACTGGTGAGGCTGCTGCTCTAGGTGCTAGCGAGGCTGCTGCTCTAGGTGCCAGTGCGTCTGCTTCCTCAGGTGCTGGTGAGTCTGCTCTCTCAGGTACTGCGTCGGCTCCGGCCTCCCACACCTTCACTCTTGACTCGGGGGCTTCTCGCTCCTTCTTTCGAGACCGCACCACACTCACGCCGCTTGGTCGGCCAGTTGCAGTCTCTCTGGCAGACCCCTCTGGGGGTCCTGTCCTTGCTCACTTCTCCACTGTCCTCCCGTGTCCGGCGGCCCCCTCTGGCACCCTGTCTGGTCTTTACCTCCCCTCGTTCTCTACGAACTTGGTGAGTGGTGCTGACCTACAGGATGCGGGGGTTCACCAGTTCACTCCTGCGAGCCAGCGTGTGACCCACTGCACGGACGCTCGGACGGGCCGACACTTGGCCACGTTTACACGTCGGCCGGGGTCGAGCCTGTACACACTGACCACTGAGTCTCCTCCAGTCACTGCGTCTGGTCAGGCAGCTGCGTCGGGTCAGGTGTTTGCTGCAGCGTCCAGGTCTGGTCCTGAGTCTGCCCCCTGCTCGTATCGCCTCCTGTCTCACGAGACTCTCCTCTGGCACCACCGCCTTGGTCACCCCTCCCTTCCTCGTCTCCGAGGCATGGCCTCCCGTGTCCTTGTCTCTGGTCTTCCCCGGTCCCTCCCTCCCCTTCCTCCGGGGCCTGCCCCTACCTGCGTCCCCTGTGTCGAGGGGCGGCAGCGTGCTGCCCCTCACTCCTCCCAGTTTCCTCCGACAGAGGCCCCGCTGCAGACGCTTCACATGGACGTGTGGGGCCCGGCCCGCGTCCGTGGACAGGGTCACGAGCGCTACTTCCTGCTGGTGGTTGACGACTACTCGCGTTACACCACAGTCTTCCCCTTGCGCAGCAAGGGTGATGTCACTGAGGTGTTGATCGACTGGATCCGCGCAGCTCGTCTCCAGCTCAGAGAGAGTTTCGGCTCGGACTTTCCTGTTCTGCGTCTGCACTCTGACAGAGGCGGAGAGTTCTCCTCTGGCCTTCTGCGAGCCTACTGTCGTGCACGAGGCATCCGCCAGACCTTCACGCTTCCGGACTCTCCACAGCAAAATGGGATTGCTGAGCGCCGCATTGGCATGGTCATGGACGTCGCCCGTACGTCCATGATGCATGCGGCTGCCCCCCATTTTCTGTGGCCGTTTGCGGTTCGGTACGCGGCGCATCAGATCAACCTTCAGCCCAGGGTCTCCATGCCGGAGACCTCCCCAGCTTTGCTGTGGACGGGGAAGGTTGGCGATGCGTCTGCGTTCCGTGTCTGGGGATCTCGGGCGTTTGTCTGCGACTTGTCTGCGGACAAGCTGTCCCCTCGTGCTGCTCCCTGCGTCTTCCTTGGCTTCCCCCCTGACGCGCCAGGGTGGCAGTTCTACCACCCCACCTCTCGCCGTGTTCTGTCCTCCCAGGACATCACGTTTGACGAGTCGGTCCCCTACTACCGTCTCTTCCCCTACCGCACTCCGTCCCTCCCCCCGCCTCCGCTCTTCCTTGTGCCAGGTCCCCCCCCGGTAGACCCCCTTCCCCCTCAGGGTCCTGCCCCTTCAGGTGTGTCCCAGGTAGACGCAGTCGAGCCTGTGGAGGTCGCTGGTAACTCTGGTGCTGCTGGGGGTGCTGAGCCCGGGGGTGCTGACTCTGGGGGTGCTGAGCGTGTGGGTGCTACGCCTGGGGGTGCTGAGCCTGGGGGTGCTGAGCCTGGGGGTGCTACGACTGGGGGTGCTGAGCCTGGGGGTGCTACGCCTGGAGGTGCTGAGCCTGGGGGTGCGGAGCCTGAGGGAGCTGGGCCTGCTCGTGTGGCGTCTGGCGGTGCTGGGCCTGGAGGTTCTCTGGGTGCTCCGTCTCGACGGGAGCCACTCTCTCCACAGGAGGTGCGTGAGTGGTTTGCCCGGCGCTGGAGGCGTGCTGCTGGAGCTGGAGGTTCTTCGGCTGCTGAGGGTGCTGGTGCCACGGGTCCCGGAGGTGCTCGTACTGGGAGTACTGGAGCTGCTGGGCCTGCGGGTACTACTGGAGCTGGAGCTGCTGAGGGTGTTGGCGCTGAGGGTACTGCTGGCGGTACTGGAGGCGGTCCTGCTGGGGGTGCTACTGGTGCTGCTGGAGGTCCTGGAGCTACTGGAGCTGCTGGGGGTACTGGAGCTGGAGGTGCTGCTGGCGCTGGTGCTACCACTTGGGGTACTGGTGCTGTCCCTGCTGTGTCTGGAGTCGCTGCGCGGCCTCGGCCGTACTTCGTTCCGCTTCTTGAGCAGGTTCTTGGTCTCCCGCCTTCTACTGGTCCTCCTCCTCCCTTAGAGTGTCCACAGCCTGTCCCGTCACAGTTACAGTTACAGCCGGCCTCCCCACTGCCTGCTCCTTCTCCCTACACTGGTCCTACTGGAGGTCTTGCTGAGCGTCGTGAGCCTGCGTCTCGTCCTGCGTCGCCTGTCCGTGCTGCTCGCACTAGTGGTCGTGGTTCGCGTCAGCGTCCTC